GTATTTATCAACCCCAAAACAAAAGTTAAAGATCTTGTGAAGATGCCTGTTGAAACTATTAAAACAATATGTGTTGTGTATCCATCAAGCTTCATCTGTTGGTCCAACTCCCCTGACAAGTCAGCCATTTTGAGCTATCAGGTTCTAACTAATTATCTCCTCAGTTTACCTCTTCTGTTCATCTTAATTAAATTCAGTTTAATTACAAAGCACCGATTCAAAACAAATATCATTGCTTGGCACTTTGCAAAAATAATGTAATCAAATCAGACAGACAAATTCGGATACCTTCCAATTTAATCAGAGGCAGTGCAGACAAGTTCAGTTTATTATTCAAATTTGCAAAGAAAGTTTTCTAAGGAAGCCCAGGAGATTGCATCATGTCACAGACTTGCAGCAGTCACTCCTTCAGAAAGAGGTTTGTCCTCATAGTAAGGTAATGAAATAAACCTGGAACAGCAGCAAAGAGCTCTTTACTACTTGAAAATAAGGCAGTTTGATGATGATCTAACCAGAATGTGCAGATTTTTCCCCTCTGCGTCGTTTTTACACCAAACAGGTTTTCAATTATTTTACGACCAGGAATATGTCACATTTTTCAAATAAAAAAAGACGCCTTTTGAAACTGAGGAAATATGTCGCAATTCCTAACGAGTTTCGTTTTTTTCAAGAAAAACAAATCTATTAACCTTCTGAAGCGTTGCACTTACGACCTCCCTCTCAGGTTGGGTGTTGTTTGTATTAGTCTGTGCTTCTGCTGTTTGGGTTCCACTGTGGGGTATATATTACTGTATATATTACTGTTTGAAGGCCGACCTGCAGCCACTGGGTTTAACGACACTGAGTGAAATATCCACAGTGAAGTAGACCACACCAGTATTCAGCCAGCTGATTTATTCTGCAGCTCCAAATGTGGAGATGAATCAAATACCTCCAGAAAATATCAAATCCACCAGGAAAAAAAAAAAAACACATGGAAGTGTTTCACTGTAAAGGTAATTCATGTTTACCTTATTGTTTTTTTTTAATTTAACATCAATTAATGCTTAATATTATTTTAATAAAGATATGTTAAAAAAAACCCTGTGCTTTGAAGTGCACAGAACTTCAGACCAGATTATACTTTTGAAGAATCAAAGTGTTGCAGTGGCTTTCATAAAGAGTTTTTGTTTGTTTGTTTGCTTCTCTGCAACAGGAAACACAATTTACTGACTCCAAAATCTATTATCCTGCAGCCCAACCTTATTATTACACTGACTGTTATTACTCAGTACCTGTAGCCTGGCTTTTCTGTGGCTCTGATAACACTCGGCTACTTTCATCGCACAATAAAGGGAGATCTAATGCTCTCAACACACAATCAACTTCCTCATGATTGTGCCCAATGTCTTTTTATCTCATGTGCAATTTAAGATAATAGTTTGATTCATAAGATATGACTCAACTTCCTATTTATCCCGCTTATGTCCTGCTGTGTGGAGAATCTGCCATTTTGTAGAGGAGCTTGAAGGAATTTGTGATAATGGTGCAGTGAAAGTGGTGCACAGTTTGTTTTTATTGTTTTATTGTTGCTATTGCTGCTGTGCTCTCCTTGGTCCTTTCTTTCCACAGAAGCTTTGCGACACATTTAAAAGGTATTCACCCATCTGAGGTGTTTTGCTCAGTTTTTATGAATCAATCATAACCAACAAAATTGGGCTTTCACAACAAAAACATCTGATTTCTGCAAAATATTCTTTCATTCTCCCTCGCAAAACTGTTCAAGCTGATGGCTTTACCCAAACTGCAGAGGACGGTCAATGCCTTCCAGATTTTTGAGTATCCATCCCCTGACTTATACATTTGTCTTCAGCCAGGAATGCTGATGAGCCAGTGACTGGACCTTCCAGAGACCTTTATAATACAATCAATAGAGACACTTGTCGCACGTATTGGATCTCCCTTCCGGTCATTGTGAAACTAGTAGCACTGACTGACTGGAGCTCTGTTGAATTAACTCTGTGTTTAACTCTTTCCTGTCCTTTAAACTGGTTATTTCATTCCAATGGAGGTATAGTCCTCATTTCCTCTTGTTTTTGGTGGTATTTCCTTCTAATGTTACTGAATGTTCAGATAAAATGTGTTGGATGCCATAGTGAGGGTTTTTTTTTCTGCTGTAATTGTTCAAAAGTCTGTGAGAACTTGCTGAAAATTCATGTCGCCAGCAGAGATGAAAGGTCAGACCGCTACTGGGAGGTGTGCCAGGGAGAAACATTAATGAGCAGCATTATCCCTTTCCCACTGTCTTCAGTGCAAACACACCACGGTGTGCAAGCAGCCAGAGGTTACTGCAGGATTCCTTCAGTTCGTGTTGGGGGCTGCGTTCAGGTCACGCAATACATTTTTCAAGGCCATGGGTTTCTTACATGAAACCAGGATTCCTTTTTATTTTTAATCTTTATCCATTCAAACGAGATAGAAGGGCTTTGTGTGTTATATATCCTGTTTTGCGTCTATGGAGTAAGGTGTATGTATTGCATTATGTGGAAACAGATTGATTCTTTATTGTGTAGCTGTTTTCAGATTCTGAGGAGTAATTATCACTTCTTCATGTATTTATAATGGAAAGAAACTAAACAAAAAAGAATGAAAATATAATAACTGTGGAGCAGCAGTTACTGAGGAAACCACAGAATCGAAATAAAAAAAAAAAACTCCAGCCTGGTGGTGATTTCTCTGCAGAAGTTTCCTGCTACTCTAATTCAGTTCCGTTTTTATCTCTGCTTTGGCCGTTCAGGACCGGATGGTTTTAAGGCTCTAACTTTGTTTTCATGTGTTTCGGTTCGTATTTTGGGCATTTGCTGTGTCTTTCTGGGATGAGACCCAGGTCCCTCCTGATTCCTGGCAGTCGCAATGTGGCAGATGTCTAAATTCACACCATGCACAGAGCTGCTCAGGCATGGAAAACAAAATTAGTCCATTTGGTCCGTTTACTAGAGGGGATTTCTGGAAAAGTTGCAAATTTAAAAGTATCACCGCCCAGTTGCTGATGCTACTTTTTGCTGGCTGTGATATGAAAATATTTCTCGACTGCTGTGAGTTAAAAATTTATAATCCCATATGACTCCCAGATTTCAATTCTCTCACATTCACTTGGAGGCTGGATTTTAAATGTTGGGTTAAAAGTTATATTCTTTTTTATGTACTTTTAGGGAGACACAGTTATGCTGACATGCACTGTCTGGCCACTTTATTAGGAACACCTGACTACTGCTCCTGTAGGATTCAGGACCGCTCCTCAATCATTTTGGTCCACAATTACATGACAGAATATTACAAACGCTGCATATTAGTTCATAATGTGAATTTTATGTTCCACCACATCCCAAAGGTTCTCTACTGGGTTTCAATTTACTGAATGAGATTTGATTATTTGTAATATTTCATCATTAGCTTTTAAATGAGTAGTTATTCCAAACACTGAAATGTGCTCTCAAACAGAAAATGTTGCATTTTTTTAAAGTAATATGTTCACTTACTAGAAATAGCTGCATCTATCCATAAGGGGGGAAAAAACAACAACAAAAAATGATTTGGTAAAGTGCACCTCCAGGAAATCTTCTGGCTCATTTTCAGGCAGGATTTGAAGTCCTGATGAAATCACTTAAGTATCCTGCAAGTCCCAACTCATTCATCTCACACCAGCACAGAGCCGTCCAGCTGATGTGACTTGTGTTGGGCGTTTCGCTGTGTCTCCACATGTCGGCCAAGGCGTGGGGACGCTGCAGCACCTGAGGCGGGAGGCAGAGTGATGCAGATGATTAATGCTGGCAGGGCAGAGTTGATACACGATAAACAAACAAACAGGCCGCCCAGTCGCTGTTCTGAGGAAGCACCGACTGGCTCGTGCCATCTGTTGTGTGGATAACTTTGCCTCTGCATGCCTGTTGGCATCAATAAGACATGAGGACACGGAGACAGGGGCGGCTCTTTGATTTTTAAATAAGGCTCCTCCACATTGTGTGCATACGAGCTGCATAAAAACACCCCAGCAGTTGGATTTACACATGCATTCCTAAATAAACAGGTGCTGTTTAAAACAGCTACTGCAATGCATGAAGCAAGCAATATTCATAATCAGTCACTGCATTCATGAAACAAAGGTATCTAATTTGTCTTACAGGTTTTAATTTTAGTTAATGATTTATGGGTCTGCAAGGCTTCACGGATTTCAAGTAAAAAGTTTCACAGCTAAAAGGCTGGGCAAATAGCACCCTCTGGCGGCTAAAACAAAGAAAACATCTATTTTAACTTCCTACGGGGGGAAAACGGTTCTGCACATCTTCCATTAACATTACAATTCTACAATCATCACAGAGCAGCAAAATCAGGACAAGAAAAAAAAAAGATGGCATAAGTGCATAAATGTTTGCAAATTATATTCTTAACTCTTTTCTTTACATTTGACAGAAAAACAAAATGGATGGAAATTATAATTTACCAATGAACGATAATCATATATTAGGTGTTTTAGAGTTTATAGGTCATAACAATGATAATTAATGAAGTTTAAGTTTCAGAATATTTCAGCTTTTTGTTTTCCAGGCTGCAGCCTTAATGTTTCAGTTAAGTGTATTAGAGGAACTTTATCTGAACAGCTGCAGAAACATGCAAGATGAAACCTCACTCCGTCTTTGGAAATGTCTGGAGATACGCAGCTTTTTACCAAAACTAAAACTTCCATTTAGCCAGCTTTCCAATTGTTCTTGTTCATGTGTTTCAAGTTGCTGACTTGCCTCAAAGCAGTGTTTGGATATACTCCATTAACTCATGAAATCAACTTTTTTCTGCATTTAGGATATCATTGTAACAAAAAAAGCAACATTAAAAGACATTTCTTTCTGAATTTAATCTGATTCTCTTATTTTGATCAATGTTAACAGTGAACTATCTTTTTAGTTTATAAATTGAGTGAATATTTGTGATAAGTAGATGTTCGAATAAAAACAGTCACTTCCAAGTTATACATATATATTTTTTATTTTAAAAGAAATACTGATCATCTCATTCCCAAACCTGACCAATAATACAGATCAAATTTATCACAAACAGATTGAAACAAATGAAAAGAGCATTACAAAAAACAAAACTAAAACCTCACCGGCAGTTTTTTATGTGGCGTTTCAACACAAAAAAACAGATACTGAGTTTTCTAATACAGGCAAGTTTATGCAGCAGTTTCTTACTCACATTCTCTCATAGTCACAATGTAACACATGCAACGCTTCTAAAGTTCAGATTTTACCCAAACTTAGACAAGCGCTCAAAAAAAAAAAAAAAATGAACAAATGGTATATGAAGACAGACGGCTTAGTTTTGGTCCCAAACAACCAGAAGGAGGTCAAAAAGAGCCCAAATAAAGAGTTAATATTCAGTACCAAACAATACAAGTGTTTTAGTTGGTCCAACAGTAAAAAATAGATTGTTAAAAAGTTAGTTATCTAAGCAAAAAGATTGGTTTGAACCAATCTGGTTTGTTTTGAGCAGTCTTGTCCCCTGTTGACAGAGCCTGCTCCTTCAGTTCAAATGGAAAAAAAAAAGGTTTTAAACCATAAACAATAATTAACACATCTGAGTAAACCTCAACAAACATTAACAGTATCTTACATATTTATAATAGTGTGAAGGGAAAAGATTAATTGCACATAATCGTTGGTTAAAATGTAAAATGGGACAAAAGAAAATGGCCCAGTTATTAAAACCACATAATAGTACATTTAAATTTTTTAGTTTTTACATATGACAATTTTTTTTAAAACAAAAAACAAGGAATAAAAATGTAATAAAAGCTGCAAAGAAGAGTAAAAAACAACAGAGAGTGTGTGTACAGTTTTAAAATAAACCCTTGCTCTTCTTCAGGTTCTGCTGCTTCCAGTTTGGCAGGGCGTTGAACTCGACGCGACTCATCTCGAAAAGCGTCTTGCGGGAAAACAAACGGGACACACAGAAATCAGAACGTGGTTCTCTTACACACACACACACACTGAGCACAGTGGGGGGTGTGGTACCTTGAAGTCCTGGTCTGACAGGTAGTCCTCCAGCCGTAGCGGGTCCACTCCCTCCGGCAGAGGCTTCCTGGTCAGCTCCTCGATGGAGTACTGCTGCTTGCTCAGTTTGGACAGAGCTTCTTTCACCAGGATCACTTTGCTCTTGGAGCTTCCAGTCTGCATGTTGTTAAAACACACACACACACACACACACACTTAATATAAAACATTCACAAACACAGGAGGAGGATGACGAGGATGTATTTGTTAGTGACCTTAGAAGTGATGCTGGTGTTTTTCTCCCAGTATGGGAAGATGTTTGTGAAGGTGAGAGGCTCCAAGCCTGCGAGGACCAGGTAGGCCTGAGGGGGGCGCCGGGGGTTCTTTTCTGCAAGTCGGCAAGAAAATAGCAACCGAAATGTTTATTTTGGGTTTAAAAGTTTAAGTTTTATTATATTGAGCCAAAACTGCTGACAAAAATAAAAACTTAAACAAAACCAAATGAAATCAGCCTTTTTGTTTGGAAAGGGAATTTATTCCAGGAAAGAAAAATGGATGACTTCTGCATTTTGGCACATTTATAGTTAAAAAGTCACTTGAGCCAAAGGGCCAAAATGCACGTGTGTGTCAGCTTTAACCTTTGCAGTACTGCAGCACGGTTTCCATGGCGCACTTCCTCTCGCTGTCCCAGCGCATCTTTGCAGATCCGGTGCTCTGGGTGTCGTCCGGCTGCCAGCCCTGCCACAGATACACCTCCATGCGGTTGTCCAGGAGAAACAAGGCTGACGAAGAAATGAGAACAAAAACCGTAAGAAGGAATCCAGCAGAAACGGATAACGGTTAAAAACAGCTGCTGTAAACAAAGTACATGAAAGTCAGGCTAGGAATAACTTTAGGAGGTAAAGTTACAGAGCTCCCAGGTTTAATGTTACAAGGAATGTTCCTTTTTGTCTTTCTAATAATTGCTCCTCCAATATGGAGGCATGTGGCCAATCCTGTTTGTGGTTCCTGAGAGTTAACGCAAACACTAAGGACCAGGAGGAACAAACAACCCACTAAAGTACAGAAAATAAAAACTTGCTTATATGTTTAAAAATGTTGAAATATCTCTGGAAGTCCTTTTCAACATAAGATGGATTTCATCTCTCTGACCAGTTAATTCAAAATATCTCAAATAGAAAATCTGTCTAAAGAAATCTCTGAATAGTTTGGAGATATCTTCAAATTAATTTTGACTAGTCAAACTTATAGCTACAGATATTTCTAATTAAATTTGGCCTAGTCATTATTTAATTTGATACGATTAATCAAATAAAAATAATTTGCACATTTTGCAGATTTTTCATAACTGATTAATCCAATTCATCTTTACAGGTCTCTATATCTCCCATATAAAAATACATTTAAGATATCTTTAATTAGAAATATGACTAGTCAAAACAATTACATTTGTTAAATTTACTTTATGTCTAGTCATAGTTTGTTGATATCTGAAATATACGTTTCAGGATATAATTAATTCCAGATATCTTGCATTAAAGCTTCCATATAAATCATGACATTGATTATACAAGTCAGAATATAATTAAAAATATCTGAATTTACCAATACATCTATTCATGAACCAATTTCCGATATCTGGACTGTTACGTGTGGTGAAGCTGATTTTATGCTAAAACTGCCTGCCATACCTATGTGCAGCTGTTGGAGCGTTACCTGGCTGCTGTGCGGAGTAGAGGCTCTCCTGCAGGAAGGGCATCGCCATGACGCCCTCCGTCACCCTGGCTGAGTACAGCTGCTCCTCCCATCCGAACATCCCAGAGCTGGCGCTCAGCCGGAACAGGCGGGGGGTGTAGTTGTACTTTCCAGGATCTTGATAACAAACACACGTCTTCCATTTAGCTCATTGCTAACTCGCCACCAGCGCACCGACCTCCCCCACCCCTCTTACCTTCCAGCATACAGTCGTAAGCCTTCTTGTCCTGCGGGCCTAAAGCCTTCAAAACCTCTGCCGGCTCAGAGCCTTCCTCCACCTCCTCCACCCTCAGCTTACTGCTGCTGTTCAGTCCCAGCTCTGAGGGACACCTGAGGAAGAGGCAGACCTATGAGTTCCCTTCAGGAGACAGTGAGGCTGTGAAGACCTTTCAGTTTCATCCCAAATCCTACCTCTGCTTCAGTTTGTCTGCTGCTCTTTTGGCCACCTGCTTGGCGTCTGCATGGGCTTTGCATCCGTGCCACAGGTAGAGGAGAGCTTTCTGAGCGTTAAGCAGCACCAGGCTGGCACGGGAACGCAGGCTGGCACGCTCACACGCCACCTCCACCAGGGAGGCCTCGGCCTGGGCCTCGCCGCGCACGCAGAACAGCCTCCAGCCACCTGGATGCAGCAAGCAGAGGGTGTTACTGCAGTCAGGATATGGGAGCTCAGCCGAGAGCTTCCTGGGTGTTTTTATGGAAAAGTTCAACGAAACAGGAAGAGCTGTTAGTTATTTAAAATAAAAAGCACAAAAGTTCACAATGAGCTGCAATTGTGGGTTTTATTTAAGAAACTTGCAGAAAACCAGAGGATGGAAGTAAAGAATGAAAGGAAATAAATTAATAAAGGAGAGAAAGTAGGAAAGAAGTTATAGATTAGAGGAAAGAGCAACATGAGAAATGAATAAAGGGAGAAAAGAAGGACGCAAAGGAAGCAAGGACAGGAGCAAGAAAATCTAAATCTTGGGTTTACACAGGAAAAATCCTGAAATCAAACGATGCTTTCCTGAGCAGGAGCCCTGTCAGCTGCAGGAAGTGACCCGTTTGTACCTGAGCTGCTGGCAGCATCGTCTCTGCTGCCCTTATGGATGACCAGTCCTCCCTGGAAGAGCTGCAGGAAACATGGCGGCTCCTTACCCTGAGTCACCAACACCTGCGCGGGCCAATCAGAAACAAGCATATGGAAGTCTGAACATTTCAGAGGAGGAGGCATCATGTGTTTGGATGTTTTTATTGACAGTTAGTGATGAGCTGACCTGTGACCCCCGGTGGCTGCCCAGCTCCACGGTCATCAGGGCCGACGTTCCTTTCTCGCTGGCGCTGGAGTGCCGGCCTTGCCAGAAAAAACACGCCGTCCTCTCTCTGCCGGGAGCCGCTGTGCTCAGTTCTCCGGGTTTCTGCCGCTTCCCGACTGAGACGAGTCAGAAAAGCCAGCGTGACCCGGTGAATCAGACGCCCCGCTCTCTCTCCCCTCTGACGGCTCGACTCGTTTTCACGCGACTCACCGAGCGTGGTGATGGAGTATTTCCAGCGGATGATGTAGGCGTCGCCCTCGTGGAGCTGGCCCACGCTCTCCTCGGGAAGCTCCTCCTCGCCGTGCTCCTTGATGTGCCACGCCTCCACCGCCACGGTGGCCAGCTCCGCCTGCCTGCCGTCCTCGGTCTTCACCAGGCCGTAGCCTCGCTGCACGTCCACGCCCTCCAGGACGGTCCGCACCGGGTCGGCCTCGTTGTCCAGCAGCGCTTTGGCGTCGCACGGCTGCAGCTCCAAGTCAAGCGGGGAGCGCAGGGTGGAATGATCCGGGCTCTGAGTACAACAACAAAATACTTGGTTCTTGTTTTGTTTCTGCATATTCGAAAAAAAAAAAAATGCAGCAAATATCTTAGTAGACTTAAAATAATTCAAAATTAACTTCAAAATAACTCCTCAACAATATGAAGGAGCTTCTTTAAGGGAATAATCTCTTAAAAGTGATGAAAAAGTTACAGTTTCTCTGGCAGATCATTTCAACATTGAAAAATATAAAGTAAATGTTTCCAAATACACAGAATTTATTTCTATGATGAATGTAGTAAACACACTTGATAAAAAATAATTAGTTTCCATCTTAAGGAGGGGGAAAAAAATACAACATTAAAAGATATTTCTAATTGCTATTTGAAAAAAAAAATAGCAATTAGAAATATATGGTAATGTGTTCATGATAATATTTATTTTTTAAATACGATATTCCACATTTTCTGCTTTTTCTACTTTTAAGGGTGTGGGGCGATTTTTAATTTTAATTAAGGACATTTAATTGGCTAAATTTAATGTCCTTCATTTTTGACATTTTCATTTATTAACTTTTACAAATATGATGACACAACAATAAAATCGCCCTGTGTTTATATTAAATTTAATACTGATACTTTTATGCTAACAAATTAGCAAAAAAGAACTAGAGCTTGATTATGCATTGTTAGCAAAATTATTTATGCTTTCCGTCTAAAACAGCATTTGAAAATTAGAACTGTAATTTATTACAATTAATTTACCAAAACGTGTCCTGATATCTACAGCTGATCAGGCTACGATGGGAAACGAACCATGAACCGGTAACACTGACTGACTCCAATCAGCTTTATGACCGGTACGGTTGGTGACTCTCGTTCCGGTCTCACCCACCTTGACTTCCTCTGCCTGAGCCGCTTCCTCTTTCTTCCGCTCGGCCCAGTCCAGGAACTTCTCCCTGAACAGCGACGTCTCGTTGTGCTCTGACAGCCGGCCGAACAGAGTCCAGCTGGGACGCCCCTCCCCCTTCCTGTAGGTCACACACAAACACACTTACTACAACACACATGCCGCCAAGTGTGTGTGCAGCTGTGCTGGAGCAGATTAACCACTAGGGGGCACCAAATAGACATGAAACAATGCAGCAGTCGTTTCTCCATATTTATGCACAACTCAAAGACGAGCAGCAGAAGTCATCATCTAATCTTGTCCTTTGGTGTCATTAACTCGTCATACTCACTGAGGTACGTCCGTATTATTGCAGGAGGAATCCAGAGGGTTGACTCTGCAGCTGCTGTAGTCGTAGCTGCCGCTGTAGAGCTGTTTGCCCAGTTTGACAGCTACTTTTCTGTCACCCAAGGGCACATCTTTTCCGTGCCATACGTACACTTCACTGCCAAAGTCAAAGACTAAAACCTGGTGTGTGGGTTTAGCAGGAGAAAAGAAGATTGGAAAAGCTAATTTAGCTACAGAAACGGCAGAAAACATTTAAAATGGGCGATAAAGACGATCAGGAGATGGAGATGCAACAATCTGGCTTCTCATGTCAGATTCTGATTCAGGATTTTGTCTCATTCTGAATAATTCAGGTGATGAAGGCCAAGAAGAAAAGGCTCTTTGATACACCCAGCAGGAAATGAAGAGGGGACTAAATGTCAAATGATGTCCCTGTAGTGAAAAAAAAAATAACGCAGTTTCTCATTTTAGTTTAGTTAGGATTGCCAAAATTATTTCTATTTGCAGCGTGTCAGAAACAGAATGGTAAACAGAAATTTTGTGTCTATTTTAAATCGGAAATGAACAGGAAGTGGAGGGAGGGAGCAAGGAGGAGAGATTCTGAAGTTGGGAATCGAAGTATTGCACTAATTTAGTTATAAAGGTGGTAGAAGTAATTCATTCAACTGATGATCCTAAATGACCGACAATGGATATTTTTAGAAAGTTTACGTAAACATTTGGTTTTAACTGTGTAAACCTAAGATTTTGGATCTACGTCATGAATGATAATAAAATTAATTTAATAATTACCTCCAAAAATGATAATTCAGCATCTAACCTGCAGATCTATCAAGGGAAAATCTCCTGATTCTGATCTCTGGTTGACTGATTGGTGCATCTCTAACAGTGATATGTTTGTTAGTGACGTTACCTCTTTAGAATCGAGCAGAGACACACTGGGGATGGAGGCCCAGGCATCTTCATGAGGCACCAGTTTGTCTCCCTGGAGTCTGTAAACCCCGTTAGAGTCCACCACCCCACTCTCATAGAGCTCGTCCTCCTCTGGGTCCCCTGCCCCTGTTACACATGCGCACAGATGCAGTATGTCAGTAATGGGACCACCTGTCTACTTATTCTGCTCATCTAAAACTTTCATACCTCTGTATTTAGTCTTTCCACCTATCAGGCTCCAGAACTCTTTGGCCCATCTGCTTTCAGTGTTGATGCCTTCCTCCAGCACGGACACCTGGGGAGCCTTGCAGCCAAGGTCCCGCTTGGCTTGAACAAAAGACGCCATCTCTGATGCCTGGCCGAAAAGAAGCACATGCAACACGTCATATATGTGCATAAATGGAGGATTTACTGCAGGTATCTTCAAAGTGCTCCACGCAGGACGTAATCCTGTCCTAGATTAGCGCCAGACAGTCTGCTACCAGTCTGAGGCATGTCAGATTGTGCAATGATTGCGCGCCGACTTACAGCGTCCCATAAAAATAAATAAAATGCTGGAACTTATCAGCAGCTTCAGAGTCTCCAGAATGCCTTTCGTTCAAAGTCAGAAATCTGGGTTCAGCAGCATTATCAGTAGAATGAGTTACAAACTACTATTATAAAGTCTGCACAGCGTATGTCATGCTATGTTGTGCAATGTTAAACCTGATGACAGCCTTTAGTGGCTCCATTCGACTTTTGCACCTGGACTGGCTCTGCTGCATTCTCCTCAGCAGACAGTCTGCATGCAATAAAACAGAATCAGACTGCAAATACAAACAACAAGGCTTTGGTCAAACTGTTCCCACATTTTGCGCATTGTTCTTCTACATCTGTAGAAATGATAAAGCGACTGAGAACATAGCTGCTATTGTATTGAAAAGCCTAAAGCAGTCACATCCAGGAGCTTGAAAATCAGAACAAATACGAGATTTGTAAGCATTATTGTTTGCTTAATGTTCCAGCAGGTTTTCCCACAGCAGGACCTTGTTTTGTTTAATAGAGATGATTCACCAGGTGAACTGCTACCTGTCTAAACATGTCAACAGAAGTTGTGAAAACCCCCTTCTGGGGAACTCTGAAGCGTTTGATTCAGTGTGAGCTTCCGTACCTTGGCTTTCTCAATGACGTTGGCGAATTCTCCGCTCCACATAAAGCAGTGCTTCGGGGTTATGAGGAGGAAGCAGTCCCCGCTGTTCAGCGAGCGCGCCGTCGGTTCGACCAGGCGCACCTGGATGTGCCTCCGACCTGCGGGCGGCAGCAGCTTTCACTTCCGTAACCAGGGGTCCCGAAACGGTTTTCATTTAGAACGACAGATTTGTCAGTCGTCTGCGGCCATTTTCAAAATGAATTTGTGGTAGGTATTTCTACGGTGGGAGGAAGAGGTTTAAATGTGGTTTTGGGAGATACTAGACACTGGGAGGAAGGAACGAAGTACAAGTAAGGACACAAGGCAGGGAAAGGAAGACGTAAGGGTTCATAGAAGGAGATAAGTTCAGAAAAAAGGGCAGACGCAATAAAGGACTGAGGGAAGGACAGAAGACAAACAAATTCTCAAAATACAAATGTTTCAGCTAATAAAACAAACTTTAACCAGCATATTACAAAAGTAACTTCTTTTTGATTCTTCAAAATAAACCAGTCATTTTTCTTATGAAGTTGTGGACACCGTTAATGTTTCGCATCATGCAGAGAGACGGAGAATTCCCTTGTGTTTTCTGACCTTTGATGCGAATAAGCATGAGCTTGTGAAAAGGCACGGCGCTGTTGTTGGTCACGACCTCTGTGGACTTCACGCTGCGCAGGTTGACCTTGCGAAAGTTCTCCTTGCTGGCGAGCCCGGCCAACGCCACGTCCGCCAAGTTGGAATGTTTCGCCACTTTGTGGGGAAAGAAAACGGGATAAAACAAAGACGTGATTATTATATTGTACCAACAGTAGTGCCTCTTTTCAGGCATTAAGTCATTTCTGCGCTTTAGGCAAAGATATTATTTCATAGTATGACTAAAAAGCATCAACAATACTTCAGTAGAAAGTGCTAGAGATGAGTCACGCTTTCGTATTACTTGGTTCATGTGAGCAACATTAGACAACGCTCGTGTTGTAATCCTGCCCACATCCTCAAGTGAAAAGCTGAAGCAAGAGTAGTCTGCAGAGCGACAGAGTGCAGACATGCAAACAACCTATGGCGTAGCATGAAAGTGTCCAGCAGCTGACCACATCATCTTTAAATACCCCCAACTTGTCTCCAGCCTCAACATTTTCACAATACACGTTTTCAGTTTCCATGCGAACAAGTACAGTCAGATCCTTGGGGCTTTTTTTCCTTTTTTTAAACATTTTGTCACACTATAATTACAAACTTTAGACCAACACAAACCTGAGCATAAATATGAAGGAAAACATTTTGTTTTTTAGTCAAATAAACTAAAACTGTGGTGTGCATTTGAGTCATTGTTCTCCCAGCAGCTCCTCACTGTGTATATATGCAGCTCCTCCAGAGCTAACATTAGCAACGTAGCTGCTCCTGGGTCCCAGTTTAGGTGAACGGCAATGTGTTGCTGTCTGTAGTTGGGCCATCCTCTTTCCCTTTGAGATGAGCAGGACTCAGAGATCCTCAAAGCATGGGATGTTATGTGAAATGACTATTTTAAAATCCTCCATAGCTACCTCACAGACCAGCCTGCGCCTTGGTATCCAATATCCTCCAATCAACCTCCAAGTCTTCACAGAACAGCTGCATTTACACTGTGGGATTGTGTATTGGAGTAAAATAGGCTGAAAACAAATGCAGGCCACACATTTCAGATTTTTATTTCTAAAAAAAAAAAAAAACGTAATCTCTTTTATTCCACTTCACAATTACATCATATTGTGTTGGTCTACCAGACAAAATCCCATTCATAAGCTGAGCTTTCTGGTTGTAGTGTCACAGGAAGTTTCACGGATGTGAAAATTAAGAGAAGCTAAACGTGGAAAAATCCAGAAGAGCGTCTTCACTGCTTTGTCATCCAGCTTATTTGCCGGATTGCTCTAGGTAAATATCTTATTTACTTTAGGGAAATGTGAGCAGACTTACTCCTCTCAACTTGAATCCTCTTGGTCTCCACTGACGCCACGTTAAGCCTCTGCTCGGTGTAAACCTGCCGGATGTCGTTACGGGCAGCGAGAGCCCGCAGGGGATTCCTGGAGCCCTGATTCCTTCTGGCTGGTCGCACCGCTCGCTTGTGCTCTGCTACCGCTGAGGTCAGCCTGGAGGCGAATTGCAACAAAGAAGTATTTTATTTATATTAAATAGAAAATACAATCTTGCTTTCTTAACACTTATGGACAGCAAAACTGTGTTAGTGCAAAAGTGGAAGAGTGGAAGCAAATATTTCCTAACGCATCAGAGGTGATAAATATCACCAGGGCAAAAGAGAAAGACACATGGGATTGTTTTAAACTAACTTTGGTGTATCAGCCTGGATGTCACTCAGGTCTTCCTCAGTCAAAATCACGCTGGACTCCAGGAGAGTGGACGGGGAGACAGGTTTGTAGAAGTTGCCAAACGTCTCATCGTCGTCCAGAGTCATCACCTCTTTCTCCATCTCTGCCGTCACCTCGATGGTGGACGACTTGGCTTTGCCCACACCTAATCCCACAGAGCCCATGAAGAATGCCAGGAAGCAGGAAGAATGAGACTGATTTTGTTTTAGCTGGTGAATGCTCATGACTTAGCATAGTTTAAAATAAGAGCAATATGCGGCCTTCTTAAATAAAATAAATTAGGGCTGTACAATATATTAAAAATATCTAGTCATTCATATCAGTGCATGCAGAAAGCTGCTGTTCTGTTAGCTAATAGTGGGGCTAATTTTTAATTTAGTGCTAGCCAACTAAAAATATTTAGTGAAATTATTTTCTGGAAAAATTTGCTAATTTACTTGGCTGAGGAATTCTTCAAGTAATTAAACAGCAATATCCATGCTCTTATTTTGAAGTGCTGTTTACACAGAAGTTTCTTCTGTCCTCCGTTTTTTTCTAAGTAGCTTTATTTAAAACAAGAGACGTACAGGAACGAAATAAAAGTCAGACAGCAGAGAACAATGTTTGAACATAAAAACAATGTCCAAAGGAATTATAGAACATGTCAATTATAGTTTAAAAATTAAACTGGACCTTAAAGGTCGTAGTCTTTCAAGTGCAGACATAATTTGAATTGAAGTCATAATTTTAGCATTAGCTTCCGCTACATACCGTTTTGGTGTAGTGCTTTAGCAAAACTCATTTTTTTAGTTAGCAGCTTTGATACCTAAGAGTGTTAGTGAACTCATGCTTTGTTGACAGAGTCAAAATAAACATTTAAAGTAAATAGCAGCACAGATTGTACCTTTATTGTGGAGTTTGTCAAGGAAGGACTCCAACTTGTCGAGACGTTTATCTCCCTCCACTTTGACGTCAGTCCTAGTGGAGATTTCTGCCCGGTGGACAGAGAGATTTAGTCAGTCCATGTGAAGTCAGCAGGCAGGTTGAGGCGCCTAAACAGTCTCCTTAAACCACTAAGACCAGGTTTAAGAAACAAAAGCATTACAGTTGAATCCCAGACAATACCTTCATGTGGTTTCACAGGCGTGGCGTTGGACTTCTTCAGAGTGATGATAGGCGGCTCGTCCTTGGACACGAGACCTGAAGCCGCACGACACGGAAGTTATTCCTTTCCTGGTTTTTCAAAGAGCTACAATATTAGCAGCTTGTGCCAGTTGGTGGTTGCGGTAGCTCAGGTAACATGTTGCCTTTCTTCGTATCTTTGTTTGGATTAGAGTTTCTACTGAGCTTTTGTCTGTTTTCCTGAAAGTTTTCTGCACGGTTTTATTTGCATTTTTCCTTCAGAGAGACGTTTGCAAAGCAAATTGCAGTGCCTGACACTGCTCATCAATATGCCTGTCAGGCTTAAGGATACAGCCGCACAGCAAATAAATAAAAGTAAAAACACCCTACCTTTCTTGGCCATTCGTCCAGCCACCGTGAACTGAACCGAGTCATTGGCTGCTCCTTTGCCTTTGCTCTTCCACTGCTCCTCTTTGTCTTTGAGGATCTTCATCCTCTCTGCCAGCGACATCTTGGGCTCCAGATCAACATTGGACTTCTGTTGGATTCAGATACGACCCAGTTAGAACTCTGTGAGGACATTGATTTTCTCCAGCGCTGGTAGATTCCCATGCAATATATCTCACACATTAATAGATAAGGATGCAAGAAAAGTGTTTGCATGACACAAACTTAATTTAAAAAGAAGCATTCAGATTCTGACAGGATACAACCACAAACGTCCATGTCTTTTTTTTAATTATGTGTATGGAATAAACAAAAATGGTTGTGCTGGATTTTATTTAGGTTCATCAGACAACAAGAGGATGAATACAGAAAAAAACAGTTTTCAAATGTTTTACTTTCTTGCTAACTGTGCATTTCAAATAATTCAAGTAAGATGACAAAATGTGAATAAGCTAAATTGGTGTGAATAGTTTTGCAATTTTACAGAGACAAAAGATTTAAATATATGAATAATATCTGCAAGAACAAGTTGAGCCTCTGGTTTTCCAGCACTTATCATGTAGAGTTCATTATGTCTCTGTGATATACTCTCCTGTCATGCTAGCATTCAAAGTCAATGATTCAAAAGTAACTTTATTAGGACACTGCAACTTAGCAGCGCCATTAAAGTAAATATAAACCCCCTCCACACATATATTTACGGCATGTTAAGATTACATAAGAACTATTTCTATCACACACTCGTTTTTCTGTAAAAATGAGCAACTCAGAGTGTGTAATTCACTGTGACTGGCGACTTCATTTCAGCAACAAGTTACAGCAGAAGCAGAGCCATCAGAAAGCAATCCCAAAAAGAAAAATGTCTGCTTTTGAAAAAAGGGCTTGCCGAGCATTCATCAACAAGTATTCCCGCTGTTGTGTGTTGACATGAAACGTGTCACGTTCTCTCACTTCAGAGCGACTCCAAGTCAACTTTAACTACTTGAAATTAAAGTAAAAGATAAACAAATGTTCAGGACTCCTGCAGCTAAGCAGCGAGTTGCAGTCCCAGAGGACGTTTTTCTTTGTGGCTGAATGATGATCTGTGGGATCTCCTGACTGTCGTCATCTTCACGCTCTGCAGTCATTTTAAGCATTTGCAGATGTCTGCAGCTTTAAAGGGGAAAACATGTTGGGATGAAGCAGTGATGAAAAGCACTCTGGCATGGGAAAATAGACGTGTTGGCGTTCCTTAAATCTTTTAATCATCACACTGAGGCTGATTGCTGTCGCTCCACAGAAAGATTGGAAGGAAAATAAAAAGTATATTGGATTCTATTCAGCAATGTAGCAGATGCAGAGTTGATGATTTTCAGACAAAGGATTCCCCCCCCAAAAGTCACAACTTTATTTAGTAGTTTTATCTAATAACAGACTAGACAGATATTAAAGCTGACATTTACAGGAAGCTGTTGTTTCTTGTGTCTTTCAACAACTTTTTAAATTGAATACTCCCTGTCGTGGACCATAGAAACAGAATTAACCACAGAAGAAAAAGAAGCATGTTTCCCTGGTGACATAAGAAAAGTTCAAAGAATCCCATTTGATCATCCTGATATACTGCAAACTGTTTCCAATCCCATCTCTGCTTCACACACACCCACACACTCGCAAACACAAATGGAAAACAGAGCTGCCATGTCTGACTGCCCATCAGCCGGGGCTTTAGCATCTCACCCAAGGGTGGATGAAACGAGTCGACCTACTGAGCCAGAGCCCTACAAAAACACTGGAGCTGAGCATCAAAATGAGCTCATTGTTTACTTTGCATGTAAAAAGAAGCGTTGACACGGGTGAGTAAAGCCCTCTTTCAGGCTTGTGCTGCATTTTATTGAAAAGATGGAAACTGAACATCTGTGTCTTAACGAGCAGCCTGGAGGTTTTTTCTTACATTTTCCTCTGCCATTCTGAGAAAAACCGGTCCCTGTAACATATGTACGTTGGTGACAGGAGTAATAAAAATGAAACCATGCTTACGAGTTTGAGAATGAGGTGAAATCTTGATTAAACGTCTAAACGTTCAGATCCAACCATATTTAACACAATGCAGCATTGAGTTAATTTTTCATCCGGTTGATATACAGTCAGGTTCAGCATAAGTGCAAACATGTCCGCATATAGAAGTCCTCTTTGTCCCCTCAATAAAACCATGCATATCACGAGCGACCAGCTGAACGCCGAGGATTTGACAGACTGATTAAGACATTAATGGTATGCAAACACCCAGCAGCTTCTTCAAATAAACACATCATATTTTATAAAACTTGAAATGCTTAAAGCACCACATTAGAGACACTTTAAATCGGTAGCATTCAGCGATGCTACCGTATATACATACACAACTACCTAAACATGAGCTCTATTACATTCTTCTGTCCCGTCATAAACTACAGCTACAAACCTGTCTGGAGTCAATCACAGAGGGGAAATACCTTGGCCTGACGGGACTCCAGAGATGATGAGGCCCCCAAAAACCTGCAGCTTTTCCCCTCTAACCCAGCTGTGGCCTTCAGCGTAAACACAGGTATAAACCACCTGTGAAGCAGCAAGATACATTTAAATTAGCTCCGACTTCTCTGTGAGGAACAAAAATGGAGACGGCTTGTCTGGGACACATGCTGCATGAAAAAAGCAACATAGTAAGAAGGGGTGCGCCGATAAATTGGTGCCGATTTCTTTCATTTTGGGAGGGAGGTCGGCAACAGGCCGATTCGTGACGAATCGATCTTTTCCACCAATCATCTCTCGCTCTCTGCTAAAGTCTGAAAATCAGCCATAGCTGCCTTTCCATTACAAATGTGTGCAGAACATTGTCAATGAAAATGCTGCACCATTATCCTCAAACTACTTCTTGTCTTCTTCTTTGTGGGTTGCACCAGTGGCAACATCTGCTTGTTGATCATGTGGCTTGTCTGATGCAAAAAAGGTGTTTTCATTGCTGCTTTTCAAAATAAACCAATTCTGATTCATCCCCCCATCTCAAAAATCTCCAAAAAATAAAAAATAAAATAAAATAAAATTTGAGATTTTTCAAAATCTCAAATTGCGCAGTTGTATGGTCAATAGAAACACAAATATTCTTTACTTTTGACATGAGAGAGGCCTGACTGACAGACGAGAAGGGCATGATTAATAATCAGTCACCCCACTGTTGCCAACTTAGCATCTTTGTTGCTATATTTAGCAACTTTTCAGACAAATAAATGAATAAATAAACAAATAAATAATTGGAACTGGCCAGAAAACTGTAATCAGTGCATCCCTAATAGTAAGCAAGCCCATGCTAAACAGGAACATGCGCCATTTCATGTGCACACACTCACCTGGAGAAATGAGGAAAGGTAGACAGGCAGGTGTCAAAGTCAAAGAAAGGAGCAGAGTCTGTAGATGTAGACAGGAGCCACAGAGGGCAGGAGGAACTAGGAGAGCAATAAAAGAGTAAAAAACAAAGAAAGGAGGGAAGGAGAAAGGAAAATTACAAGCGGAGAATGGGGAAGATGCAGATTACGGTTTCAAGATTTTACACGGAAGTCTACAGGAAGTGAGTGGGGTGGGAATGTTCATATGCGTTTGGAGATGCAAAGACAACAAATCATAATGTGCACAAATGAATAATTTCTATTCAAAGTGGAAGGATATAAAACCAGTTTTCAGATCTAAAAGCTATAGAAAAAGAAAAAATATTATGCTGCAGGCCTTATACAGACAATCCTGTTTTTGTTGATTTGTTGACTCATTACATGTATACAAAACAAAGTATACATGTAATTTATACATGTAAATTTGGAAATGCAGGAAAATCCTGCATTTCCAAATTATTTATAGATTTACTATAATATGTTTGAAAAGTCTTCACAAGGGCAGACCTTCATTTACAGCCACAAAGCAGCTTTTTCCATGTTGTTTGCTGACCTTTTGTGAAAAAACCCCAAAACAAAACAAAAAGATGTCATCAGTCATCACAACATATGACTAACAATTATTCCTCATGACTCAACTTGCCTCGTTTTGAATCAAATTTACAACCAGGCATCGCTTTACAACACCAGGGTGCAGAAAAAGGCTCAGCAGGTCTAACAGGAAACATCTGGACCTAATCACAGCCTCAACCCTACATGTTTTATTCTCCATCATTTCACATTTCTACCAAAGAGCACAAACATCTGATCTAACTGTGTAAGCTTGAATGAAAATAAACACCAGAACTTCAAAAAACAAAGCAGTTTTCTCAAAAGAGAAAAAAAAAAAAAAAAACGTTGCAGGAACGACCATGTGTGAGCTGAGGAAGAGATGGCTTTGGTGCTCGAATCTGTGCTTTGCAGACATCCTATTTAAGCAAAGGCCATAATTTCAGACAGAAATAAAAGGAGAAGCCCTAAAGACCTTCTGGACAACTGCTTGGCCCTCGCTCATGCGTGCGAGGGTTGCAAATGCACATTTTTACGCTATGGATTTGTGCTGATGTGTCATAATCAAGAGCGACCACACAAATAAAATATGACATCATAGTTCAGCATGTGACAGAGGAGGGGAACTGGGTCGAATTTTGTTGAGCAGCTTTTTCCAGACTTGGAGAGGATCTGAGGTTAGCTCATCATTTGGATGAAGTTTGAGCTCCAACCAGAAATCCCAAAAGGGGGTCACTGATGTTCACAGACATCGAGTCAAAAGATGCTCTACACAGATGCACAACGTGGCACAACGCGTTGTGCAAACACGAGCTCTGTGAATGGAATGGTTTAAAAAAAAAATAAAGAAAAAAAAAATAGTGTGTCGTTTACTTTCCAACTACAAGCTCTTCTGTGCAGGTGCTCATATTTTCACTGAGAAGGGTGTGTGAGGTGCATAAGATGATGGCATGCACAACTATTCCAGGATTCGTGGTACAAAACTGTTTGACCTGAAAGTTTATACAAATACTGGCGAGAAAATCAATTATGTGGTGAACACAAAACGCTGGCATGTGGAGAAATCTATTTTTCCAACCTTGAGAACAGGAGAGGAACAAGTGAGCAGAAAAGCCAGAAGAAGAAGGACGCATTAGGTTGGAGGCTTTTCAGGTGTTTGGTCATGGTGTAGAGTTTTATTTTTACAAGTGGAGGGAAGCTGAGCTCTGGATCTCCGCTCTTAAACCCCATAGCTCTGAACCACATGCTCTCCTGGCAGCGGCCGGCTGGAGGAAATATGCTGATTCAGCAGACGGAGAGACATGTCCACAGCCAAGTCGCCCCTTACGTCTGCACATAGCCAAGCAGAGGCTGAAGTGTTTGGCTGGGTTCGCTCATTACTGCCACTTCTCCGAAGCCCTAAATAAAACTTGGTGCCATCATAAAACCGATGCAATGCAATAAATATGGCTTTTATCATCAAAGTCTGAGTAAGAAAACAATAAATATGTGCTTTAGCGGTGTCACGTCAGAAACAAACTAATGGATGTGAATGATTAAAATCACACCAGCAAACGCGTAAAATATCCTTTGGTTTAAAAAGCTGCTGTGACCCTCCGAGTCCCAAACACTTTCCATATATTGGCTGCGCCTCATTACTTCAGAGAGACAAAAACACCAGACTTTTCCAGAGAGAAAGGAAAAATGGAGGGAATACAAGGAAAGACAAAAATGAGTAAGAAAGGAGACAAAGAAAAACTAGAGGAAAGAGGAAAGATTTCACAAAGAAGATGATGAAGGAGAGAAAGGACAAGTAGAAGGAAAGAATGATGGAAGGAAGAACAAAATGAAGGATGAATGGACAGAATATTGGGATGAAAGGATATTGAATAATTTCTGTAAAGAGAAATATTTTCTCTTAATAATTTCTCCTTTGTTTATACATATCCAGACATGAAGAATACTGAAATCAGATTTTGAACCATAACTCCAATTCAGCTTCCAGATTCCTAGACGGCACTTCAATCTCGTTTAAAAATGTTCAACTTAAATTTGGTTCCACTTTATTACCAACTATGTTCAAAAAGCAGAAAATCTGCAGCAAATATTTGATATTTAATTTGATTCTTGTCTTTAAATAAAAACAGCTTATTTTGATGTGATAGAGCCGGTGTGGGAACTGACCTTTTTCTTCCAGGCAGTCTCAGCATCGTGAAGCTGGGTGAAGCGATCTGCCAGTGACGTTTGGATCACCTGCGGCGGTTTGGACTTCCTCGGTCTGTCCTTATTTTCAGCGTCCTCGCCAGACGACACAGCCAGTCTGAGGAAAAAAAAAAAAAAAAAAAAAAAGGCGTCATTGTAATTATTGCGGAGCTCTTCAAACTTGATCCAAACAGTTTTTGCTTGTCTTGTTGGAAAACCTTATTTTGTGTCAGAAGTAAAAGTAGTGAAAAGAACTATCAAAAATTTTCCCAACTGTTTAGGTTTAGGCCCGGTTTAATAGAACTCAATCAGTTTGTCTGGAAAGTTTGATTCGTTTGTGAATTAATCTGCAAACTCAGGTCCATCTAAAAACCGAAGTCTCGGTTCGGTTGAAGTGAACTTTGGTGCGTATGTGAATGCAAGCGTACCGGAGACCGAACTGCAGCGCAGTGCATTCTGGGTAAATACAACCAAAGCATGTCCGTGGTCTTTTACCAACGACAAAAGAGAAATCCTACAACCGCTAAAATCTGACACTACTCCATTGTTGTCTACACATTGCGAAGGAGTGAGTTGTGCTCATGTCTACTTCTGAGGTTTTCGTGTCGTTTCCTTCAACAACACGATGCAGCGCCACTAGAGGCGAGGGGAGGAACAAGTTGGGTTTTGACTGTTTGACACAATGCAGTGAGAAAATGAACCACACCAGCTGAAAATGTAACAAATGTTAAAATGTTTGCCCCAAATCTAAACTATTCTACTAGACTATCAGGTGTTTTATTTGCTGGTATTTTCCTGTTTGATTCCATCACTATGAGCGCGTCTGCGCGTATCCTGACCTGTGTTTCAGCGCGGAGCCTTGACTCTGATCCAAGCTGCTCTCCAGCTCGTCGACGTCCTCGGAGACGGTCGACGTGGTCTCCAGGCTCTCATCGGGCGACGGACTCCGCATCTCCTCAAAGCTCTCTCTGCTGCTGGTGCTGCCGCCGCTGTTCTTCTCCTTTCGGTGCACGCTGAAGCTGCCCCCGTCCGGGATGTCATCAGCTGGTGAGTCGTCCTCTTTATCGCTCTCCCTGCTGACCTCTTCCTCAACATCCTCCTCTTCTTCCACTTCGTCGTCCTCGTCTTCCTCTTCTTCATCGCTCTCAGGGTGGCTCAAGGTGACGCTGGTTTGCCGGGAAGGCATCCCGGTCGACATGCCCTCGCTGTGGTCCGACTCCACGCTGGTGGAGCGGCTCTTCTTTAGGATTCCCCTGATGCCCTGAGGCCCAGAGTCTTGGCGCTGGAGCGAAGGTGCAGAGTGGCTGAGTGGACTGGGAGGGGGCGACGCATCTCTGTTCTTGCTGGGAGGAGAAGCTCGGTCTGACAGGAAACTGAAAGGCTGCAGCAGGGGAAGAAGAAGAGACACGATTCAACTGTCAGAACAACATAAATTTCGTTTCGCCTGGGGACGATAACTCTGTAAGACGACAAGTTTCAACAGTTTGTCTTTCTGTATATTCCACAAAACACTGAAAACCCCAAAGTTTGTTTTGCTGCTCTGAGCCAACTCATGCCTTTGCTCCATTTCTCACCCATTTATTGCCATTTTGTCTTTTCCTGCTTCCATTCAGCATGTAAACAAGCTAATTTATTAAAAAGAAAAGACAAATATCAGAAGATGTTTTCAAAAACTTACTTTTATATTTTTTTGTTTTAAAGGCATGCAAGGCCTTAATGTTTGTGACCAAAATCTGTAATACAACTGAAAAAAAAAATACAATTTCAGTCTTTTTTCCCTTTTGAATAAAATCAAAAACATTTTGCAATCTAACAGGGAACAGATGTCACATGAAATAAAGCTGCAAGGCTGAGGCATCTAAAAATATCTAACGCTTTAAAGCTGTGATCAGTAATTTAAGACTGCAACACCAAGTAACGTATGCAGTGTGAGCTCAGTATGTTATCACTTAGGAGAGCCGACAGCAGCTGGAACAGTCCCCACGCATTGTACGGACGGGCCAAAGGTTGGGAGGGCGTGCTGATTTAGGAGGAGAAGCAGATTGTGAGAGCAGGCTGGGTGTGACAGTGTAATGCTAACCTGGTGGTCTTCTTTAATAAATACTGGAGCGCAGAGTGCCGCTGGATGTGTGTGTGTGTGTGTGTGTGTGTGTGTGTGTGTGTGTGTGTGTGTGTGGAGTTAAAATCATTAAGATTTGGGCAAAGTATTGACATTATGTCTGCTTATGGAAAAGAACGAGTCAGGATCTATGTTGTAACTCTACATTAAGAGTATGAATTATAAACTGAAAGGTGACTTCCAAAGAAAGAAAGAAAGGAAAAAATAAAAAAGGAATCTAAACTAAACCAGGCCTTAAAAACACCCAGCCAAACTTCAAGGTGCGTAAGGATTTAGGAATTGGCTTGCATGAGGTCTTTTTCAGTGCAGGAAAATACAATCCATCCAAACACAACCCACAGAGATCCCTTTAATACTGCAGCTGAGTTCATAGATTTATGAAAATGTGATCCAATTCTTAAGCAAATGTTTTAGCTTTAGAGCTGCACAATACATCAAATTTCACATTAAAACTGACCTGCTTCTCCTCGGTAGTGGCAGTATTTTCCTGCTGCTCCTTCCAGGAAGATTCCTGAGTTGACTCTTCCATTGCTTTTTCTTTATCAGCATTGGAGAGGCTGCAATTATCAGAAAATAATGCACAAGGCTGATGGGAAGAATACACAGAAATGGGTAACAATGTAGATTTCAGTAATCAAAAAACTTAGGAGGACAGAAAAAGCACATTAAAAAGCAAACATAAATTTAATAAATAAAATTCAAGCTGTATGATACATTGGTGTACATAGGAGAGGCTTTGTTTCACTGCAACTAAGCTAATCATTAATATAGATCACAATTTAAATGCACAATTATTTAGTTGTTCTAATATAGTAATGAAATCCCATTTTAATGTTACATCTCCTCCTAATACATATAATTGACAACCCTTCAGAGCAGAAGGCATAGCAAAATGTTCTGAATGTTAATTTCCTCATATCACAACTAGCTGAAACTTGTATTGACAGATCAGAGCATCACAAAACCAGACAACATTCTGGTGCATATTTACTTTGTGCATTCAGTAGGTTTTTTATTTTTATTTTTTTTACCACATTTAAAGACTGTGAAACAAAACGTTCAGTCAAAATTTATGTCAACATCTGCATCAGTCATTTCAATCTGGGAAAACAACAAGAGACAGTCAGAGACGATGCGTTCAAGAGCACCATCCTGTTTCCAACGCGTCCGTTTCTAAACCGATGGGAAACTGATTCAGCATAATCATAAGAGTCAAATCTGTCAATGGTAATGGAGGTCCATTTATAAAGAGCCCTAGTTTTATTGACCACTCAATGTGCTTTACACTAAGAGCCACGTTTGTACAAACACTCAATGCAGCATTTCTGTCTCTCCATTACACTCAGATCGTTAATGACAAATAGACTGTCAGCGTCTTCCTGAAGGAAACTTTGACATAAAAAAATTCAAGTCAAATAAAATGTTTTATTTTTCTTTTACAACTGTGTTTCAGCTGTAAGTTATGTGTGGGAGGTAGTGGAAGCTCAGCTGGCCCACGGACAGTCAAATCCTGTCCGGGAACTGTCTTTTAATTACCTCACGCTTCACATTTTTATTTAAAGTTGTTTTTATTTAATCAGAGAAAATTCTTATTTTGTGTAACTAAAGTTTGCCAACAGGACCAGCGACAAAGTCTTAAGTGGAGACAATAACATGAACTCAAATGCTTCCTGATTGGGCGGGAAGCTGAACAGTATGAATGACGACTCAGGCCTTATGCAGACAATAAAGAAAAACTGAAAGAAAACTCAAAGGTTGCAAACTGCACTGTTAACTACAGTCTGGCTGTCAGCACAACATTCGCTCCATTTTGGTGCAAACTATTGTGTGTTTGTATATTAATAGTCTCATGCGGGCTAGTCCTACAGGTTTACCTGCCTGGTTTATCCCATATGACATTTGACAGGCATTCAATAGGATCTGTAATAACCTCTCCGCTGCATTCAGCATGCTCTGTTTGCTGCGCGTGGGTGGCACCGCTTTCCAAGTTGTTTCAGTCTATTATCACTGATGTCTGAGCCCCAGCTCACAAAATCCATTAGGAAGCAAAGAGGTCGGATAAAAATCAAATAAAGCAGTCCTACCCACGCTGAAATCACTGAAGCGCTCACCTGGTGGAAGTTCCCTCCCTGTCACTGCTGATCAGTTGATGCTTTGCGCTGTCATCACAGCGCTGGGTGCTGCTACCATCCACTTCTCCCTCCACTTCCTACAAATACAGAAAGGTTGGGGAAATAAAGATTAGGCCAAGATATGGAAGCAATCCTGTCAAAGTTCTACTCCAGCTGTAACGAATATCCCGATAAAGGAAGTGAGTGAATAAATAAGACTCCACCCCTTCTTTTAAGAATGGTAGTTAACCCTTGCAGTGCTCCAGCAAAGCTGGAATGTAGCAGAATGCTGCTCAACATAAGGAATAAATGTATAAAAATGTAATTAAATGCACTAATACTAAGTGTACATTTTTGAGCGAATGCATTTTTATCCATCCATCTTTTGTCTGTTCCATGAAGGGTAATCGGGTAGCTGGTGGAGGAAAAATCTAAAGATGAATGGACTGGTTTCCAGATTTAGAACACAGAAGTGTTAAAGTTGAGGAATAATTTGTTGAGCAAAAATAGAAAGTTGCCTATTTGGAATTACTTTGGCTTTAAACGGGATAAGAGAGTTATTCTACAGGATGTAAGCAGAGCGCTTTGCCAACTGTTTCAGCAAAGGACTAAAACACGGCAAACTTCCTTGAGCATTAAGTGTTGATTATGCTACGCAATAACCCGGTGCTGCAGCTCCATCGTCAAGCTCTGTCTGATAAAGGTTTTCACCAGCAGAAAGACAAATAAATGCAAAAAGGACAGCAAACTTAAAAACTCGGTTCAACCGAATCATACAGATAAGGAGAATGCCTTCCTTAGTGAATGAACTTGAAACATCTTTTAAATTTCTTCTCTCAGCTGGGTTCAAAACTACTACCTGTACTACAAAACCTCACAGTATGTTTATCTTTCATATCCACTATCCTTAAAAAAAAAAAAAAAAAAAAAAAAAGAATATGCAGGCTGCACCTGAAGAAAAACTGAAATCAGCCAGAAACCTGATGGGTGCATCTCCAGATACATCTATGTAGCAACTTGTTTTAGCAAGATACGGTTACATTTTCACTTCAGGGACCTTTAGCAGGAACCACTGCAACTGTAATAACTCTCCTCTGTTTCTAGGGCATGTATCAAGGTTAATCTCAGACCCAGGTGGACATTTGCACCAGAAAAAGGTCAAGTAGGAAGAACATTTGATATTATACTGAATCTACAGAGTGGACCTTTTGGGATGGAGCATGCAAAAAACATTTTGGAACGATTGAGTTTTCTCAACATCGTATTTCAGTCATCTCAGTTAAACTCCCTCATTGTTCATACTTTGTGCAGATTTCAACTGTCATAGATTTTAAACCCTTGCCCTGTCTGTGGAGAGTCAAACGTATATTTCAAAGTTTGTATGTTGGAATGCTGTGGAGCATCATTGAAAAATCTGAATTTATGGTTATTGAACAGCTGGTTGTAATCCTGACGGATGCCGCAGTCCATCTCACCTCTGGAAAACGATTGAAGCCGCTGTACAAGACTCCGAAGATGCATGGCCTTTTATTTTCATGAGGGGACCGTACTGTTCTTTACCATCTTAGCAGGGTATTGGGAAGGAGAAAGTCGGGCAACATTCATCATCCTTTGATGTGATTTACATAAAGATAATGCTTACTGGGTTCCAAGGCATAAAATCTCTAGATATCATGAGGGAAACCCAGCTAGAATGCTTTTACATGACTTTAATTCTTTGTAAATGGCTCTTTGAAGACCCCATCTGTAGATCTTTTAAAGGATCTAAATCCAGGAAACATAAAGAATTGCTAAACTATGCACTTGCTGGGATTATTGTGGGCTTTGAGGTGTGTTTGAGGCATGTCTAGAGTTGCTCTTGTTCCCCTTGAAAACAAGCAGTGGTGTGTTTCCTTCAGGAACGTTCAGGGTTTTCATGGAATCCATTGTTCCCTCAACAAATAAAATGTTCCCTGCCTAATTCTGCACTCCTTCTTTTACTCCACACAAAACACTTAACTGTGGCCAGATGTCGTGTGTGCTAAGATTGTAAACTTTTTGTAAAGAGGATGAAGTTGTTTTCTGCTGATGGGTTTCTCGTAAAGTTAGAATTTTGTTGGATTTTCTCAAACCATGAGAAAATCCTTACATAAACTTGCAAACTGCTGCACATCATTGTACCGCTCTCCATTTAATACTGCAAATTTGGTCGTTTCATGCCTCTTTTCCAGGGATGATATAGTCATTTGCAATACAATAGAGCATCGGGGAGAACAGCTGGTTGCAGCAAAAGGGCAGCTATTGAATCTTTGTGTCAAACATTTACATTTTTGCTCTGCTGTATTACATCAAATAGCTATAATGATGCAGCTATTTGAAGTATGTTTTCTGTCATTTTATGGCTTTTTTAGGGTTGTTGCAATTATACGAGATTGTTTCACCTCAAATTTTTCTGAGTTCTTAATTTTTTCTCATTAAAATAATTTAACAACAAATCCCATGTTGCTGTTGGTTGTCACAAAAGCTCAGGTTGTGTTTGACCGTCTTTTTAAATGGGTAAGGCCGCTCTATGTCAAGGCGACACTTTTGGCCTCGATTACATGTTAAAATGAAATTGGCTAAGGATTTTTGAGAATTGCAGCTAAATTAAAATGATTGACAACAAATCCTGTCCTCTACGACTGACCATGCATCAACTCATAACGCACCTTTGGGTTGTTTCGTATCAGTTTTACTAATCATTTGAAATAATTTGCCATTACGGTCAAATTTTGTGCCGTTTCTGTACAGAATAAAACAAACCTTCTTTAAAACTATTTTTAAAATGATTTCAAACTAGTTCAACCTACTCAATGAACAGACAGGAATTTGTCCGTTTCTGTCTTTTTAGGTCTACTAGCGAGTCTTTTTCACACATGCTGAGAGTGAAGCTCGCAGCTGTGAGAGTAAACACTTTAGCAAACCCCTGGCGTGACCTGGTGAGGATAAGTGGGCCTCCAGCTGTGAAGAAAATACCTAAAATTGTGTAAATACCCCAAATTAGAGAAGCCTCTTACAAGCTAAGTGCTGCCCACTGATCGTTGAGAGAGGAAGTTGTTTCCTACACAGCAGGATTTACCATCATCATTTCTCAGATTTTCACTGAGAAAAATCCATTTATAAGCCAGTTAATTTTCTTTCCAGAAGTGTATTTTTTCTGTTTGCATTTATGCTAAAAGGTTGATAAACTGAAACTCAACTCTGATGCCATCTTCTCTGACTGAAACACTGACTGACTTTTCAATAGAAACTGTGGAGGAGGCATAAACGACCAGAGAATAGTGAAGACAGACAAATGGCAGCTTTCAATACAGTTAACCATCAAATGAGACACTGTGCAATAACATATATCAGGGAAAATCACTGATGGGATGGAGCATTGTGAGTACGATAGGAACCTGCTTTCCCACAAAGTTTGTTTGTTGGAGCAACTTGCTACCATCTGGGTTTACTTGGCCAACATTGGCTCTGCTGCTGGTCTGTAATCGCCAAATTAGAACAGCTATTTACATCAAACATCATGAAACCAAACCACTTCTGAAACCTAAGCAGCCTGGGAAAACCACATATGGGTCCATAGTTCATTTTTTTAAACTCATATGTGCAGATCTCCCCCAGGATTTCGGACATTTTAAAATTTTGTTCCATAGATCATCTTTTAGCATGAAGAAAAAAAAAATCTTCCCACAACTGCTTTAATCTCTCCATAGACTGTGCATGCTGAAGTCATGGATTTGGCCAGATTTGCAACCAGGTGCAAGAGTGTTCGGTGTGCTAAGAAATGGCTCAATTTGTTATTAATGGAGTTGAGCTTCCAGAGAAGAGCTGAAGTGTGCAACAGCTGCTCTGGAAAAAGCTGGGAGTAAAGCACCAAGTGAAATGGAAAGACCTAAACACAGGCACAGTGTGTGACATCACCCACAAATCTGCGTGTTCAGGTTTTTGGAGCTTGAATTTATCCTGTCAGTTTGATGGCTTTGGGGATTTCCATACTTAAATACTAGCAACATAGAAGGACAACTCAGAAAGACGTGAATTTATAAACAAGAAAAACCAAAAGACAGGTGGAAGTCATTCAAAAAGAACTCTGCAATTATTGTTCAGTGATGAATGTAAAGGTGAGGAGGTGATACCGAGTCGACTGACTATTCGATGCTGAAAAAGGTTCATATTTAGAGGTTTTGAATAAGTAAGTGATGAATTGTTTCTAATCTTTCTATGGATTCACACCGACCTGAGTTACTTTCTTTCAGGTGCATGATAGTCTGAAACAGTTTGCTGTATGCAAAATGCAGACAAAAATGTGCTTAGATTACCTTGAAATTAAAATGTTACTCTACAGTAGAAGAACATACCCTGACTGAGCTGTAATAACAGTAATTTGACATTTTTTAACCCCTTCCAGGACAAATCCAAACATGTGTTTATTACTATAATCGGAGAACCTTAACAGGAGGAAAAGGTCCATTTCTAATGACCATCCCTGCAGATTCCCTGTGGGGTCGGTGCTTATCTCTAGCAGCTAACTGATGAGAGGCAGGAGACCACAGAAGGCAAACTGGGGCAGTTTAGAGCAGCCAATAAACATGTAATTGCTTCCATAATTACTTTCCAATTTTATACTTTTGTGGTTTCCATTGTACCATATTCCAGTTTTCCAAGAACAAAACAAAGTCATTTGCCAAAGGACATTTTGTGCTGATCATACATCACTGTGTGCCACCCATTATGAGGATGTTTCGATTTACTTTGGTTTCATCAAAGATGCAGAGATGGAAAATCAGAACCATAATCAAGATAAAAGAAAGCAGAGAAGGGATGAAAAATTACGGCAGATGTATGAAATGATGGCACAAAAAAATAAGCATTAAAAAAAAAAAAAAAAAGTCAAAGGTCCTAATTGACCTGACATCAAGATTTAAACTTGGGACCTTCTTACTGAAAAACAACAATGCTAACAAATGCAGCGCCCTGCAGCCGAAATGAAACAGAGGCAAACTAAAACACTGAGCTTCTAATAACTGTTGTTGGAAAAATGGTCATAAGATGAAACATGGTTGGCTGTACAAACAGAGAAGGACGCAAACCAAACCAAACCCTTTTGATGAAGACAGACGATGGCAACTGATTTTAACTGTCATACTTCGTAAGTAAGATGCTGTTTATGACATAATGAAAATCATGTGGCGTGACTTCAGGCAAAGTGACTGACTTGATCAAATCAACACGTCAGGAGGGAGAAGATAAGGGTCGGTTTCTAAGCTAGCCATTTGCAGCTTTTTTTTTATATCTATGAGGCCCAGCTAGGTGAGCTACTTCCACAGACAAACTAGTTTGACTTGAGCAAGTAGAAGCCATGGTGAAGGAACATCGTCTTCATCCCACAGTCCATAAACCCATCTGTTAGGCGAATTAGTTATTTTAAATTGCCTCTAGGTATGATTGCTGGTCCTGCCTCTCTCTGTTTTGCCCTGTGATGGAATGGCAACCTGTGTGGAGTGTGCACTCTGGGATGGGCGGATGCAGGATAAGGATGGATGAACGAATGGATCCTTACCTTAAAATTCAACATCTTGGCTGCAGAATCTGAAGCCTTCTCAGCTGAAAAGGACACAAGCAAGCATTAAGTTTACAATGAGGTCAACAATGAGGATTATGATTCTCAAACAATAACCTGTAGCATGCAATAAGTCAGAGAAAAATTGATTAGTTGTGGTTAGTTGAAAGGAAAAATAATAAACACCCCTGCATGCAAATGTCGCTCTGAAATATATATATATATATATATATATATATATATATATATATAAATGCAATCCTTTCCAAACTGGTTTGTCATAAATTGGCTTCGTTCTCCACATAATGACTTGCACAGAGAAATGCCTGCAGATTTGTATGGGTCGAAGTGGAAGTTGTCCTCACAAGGGACAACATGGGGATAACATCCTGAAAAATGTAAACAGTAACGTTGTCAACATTGTTAACTTCAGCGTCTTAAGCTGAAAACAGCAAATGGAAAAATTGGCCTCATGTTCAGTTTTACAAGTCAATGATGACTCAACAGCTCATTATAGTAATAACAATATTAATATCAGATTTTTCCATGCAGAGGAACAGATTCCCTCTGTGCTCAGGCATCTGTTGAGGGGAAAGGTAGAATCAGGTCTCATATGAGCTACTTGATGAAAACCAGCACCGAGATTATCATCTCCTAATACGAACATGAGGAATCCATTATCTTTAACTATCTTCAAACACACCATTAATTTCTTAATTCACCACAATTCCATCCATTCTCTCTCTTTAAATCTGTTTTTATTGTCTTTTTTTAACCAAAATAATGGCTTGCCTCTGAAAAACTACATGTTTCGAATGAAAGAGGAAAAACCCTCCACGTTCTGATTTATGCTTCCCAGCTCCCCTGCTGTTCGGAGCGTAGCATGATTTACTTCAAATGAGGAAACATTAAGCATTGCAGAATGGTGACTCCACTCAAACTGCACTCATAGTTTTGACTTGAATCCAGTGTTTTCCTTTTAGATCATCAGTGATTCAAGGCCAAAGCTGGAGGGAGAGGGAGAAAAGAAAACCAAAGCAATGGAAAAACTCCCACTAAGGTTAACAGACGATTCAGTAAGTGTTTGCATCTGTCCTTCAAGATGGCCCTCTTAGAGCTGTGGAGAGATTATTGGATCGACCTTTGACCTGGAGCTGAAAATATAAACAAATCTAAAGCTTGTAAGCTCTGAGAATAGGGCAGTATTTAAATCAGCTTTATAAGAGCATGAGAAGAGGGGAAGTCCTCCCAGCATTAACAAAAGTCAAAACTAACAGTATTTACAAACTGCGTGCAGTTAAATGGTTTTGTGGTCGCAGTTTAACAAAGCTGAGTCTGGGTAAGCAGTTCAGAATAAGTCGGCTGGATGATCAATGAAACTCTTCAAGTAAACATGAGACATTGCCAGGCAAAAACTTCAACCTCAATGCCAGCAAGTTCTTCTAGCTAAATAAATATTCTGACAGTAAAAACCTTAATTCTCTCCTGTCAAACAATTTATCAGCAATGTTTCTGCAATTCCAAGCACACCATAAATATGTCAGTGTTTCAGCCCAAATTAAGAAAAAGATAATCAAAATGTCTGTGTAATGTCAGAAAAAGCCAAATGTGTCTTTAATCCTGGGCCGGGTCGAAGGGGCAGCAGCCTAAGCAGAGAAGCCCAGACATCTCTCTCCCCAGGCACTTGGACCAGCTCCTCCAGGGGAATCCCAAGGCCTCCACACACCAAATGTGAAACATAGTTCCTAGCATGTTTATTTAATTTAAAACAGAATTTAAAAGTGAAATAACTGCAATAAGTCTGGGGCTGGCTCTGGTTTCCAGCTTTAAACTCTTCAAAAATAAAAAGACAGAGTGGCTTCCTGGTTGCAGGACGCACAAACTACCGCACCACCTTCCCTCATAGTCAGTTGCACACAACTCTTAGCTGCAGTTGGTGAAGCTAAAATCGTGCTACCAGAGGACCTATGAGGACCTAAGCATGTTGATAGGATACACATTTTACACAGACCTTGTGTGGATTGTAAGAAGTCCAACAACACATGGTCACAGGTTTTCAGTCTGACAGCGACATTGTTCGACATCAGAAGGTTACAAATTGCACAAAAAGAGAAAATTAAAGCAATTGAAAGCAACGAGGTGGATGATTAGAAGTGAAAGCTGGGAGTGGTTCAATTAAATCATCTCTGCACAGCAGCAGAAATGCGAATGTACAGAATGCAGAACTAAACAAGCACGTCACATAACTGCATATCAGAATCAACAGAAGAACAAACTAGCATAAGCATATTTACATACACACACAAGCAAAAAGTTTGGACAGAAGGCTGGAAACTAATTGCCAAGCAATACCCTCTTCTTTCTAATTACAAAAACAAACTCATCATCAGGGATGATGGCTCCTCCTGACTGGGGGGTTATTACAATGCCAGCATCAATAAGGTGATCAGCAGTGAGTGAGCTCAGTGTTCCTTTCAGACTGACTAATATGCAACAGTTGAATGAGAAAGCAGCATGTGGAACAATAGAGGATCTGAGTGCAGTGAAAGTCGAGGGTTCATCTTACCCTTAGGCTCCTCTGGGTCATCAGTTTCCAGCAGCCTAACAGAGTGAGAGAAAGGCAGATATAGATGAGGTTACACACCAATGTGACGGAGTAATGGGACTGCATGGCTGTTATAGCCAAAGCTTGCTAAGATCTTACAGTAATTTTGTAGTCGGCTCATTTTAAAACAGTTCAGACAATCTTGGAACTGAATAACGGCAGCCATCCAGTTCATTTGTCTCACTTGATACGCTCTCGACACATTAACACATGCCGCATGCTAGCAGTGATGTAACAGCGCTGCCTGGGTCGCATCTGAAGGGAGCAATTCATCTCTAAGTAATGACCGTTAAAAATGGATGGGGACGGCAGCTGCCTGGGGAAAGGGAAGCAGTGGGGGGAGCAATGATGCAGCAGGAAGAGTGGAGGGGATGATGGTGACACAAAAGGAGAATCATAGTGGACATCTGGAAGGGGTTAAAGGTTAATGAAGGGCAAGGTGCAGATCAAAATCAAGGCCTTAAGCTATAGGCTGTAAAGGTAAATTAACTTAGATCCAAAAGATTCCCGTCGATTTAAAATCTTTATTTTATCTAAAGGGGATTGGACCAGTCAGGCATTCAGTCACAGCTAAACGTGACTGCATGACATCATGATGCCTGTCACTTTGGATCAATAAACTAGAGCTATTTGATTATTGGTATGGAGTCAATATGATGTTGGTTAGATTAAATTTTTAATGTGATTTTTTTTTTTTTTTTGTCCATTATGATCTGCATATTAGTACTTAAAACTTTAATATCTGGGCCAGAAGGAGATTCTCATTGTAAGGTTAAAAGAGAGCATTAAAACAAAAATCTGCCATAATTTAGTTTTCATTTAATTTAATATTTCTGCTGATGCAAATGTTACATAATGACTACAGTTATAATGAAATAGTTATAATTCTATTTATTTAACCGTATAATGATTTAGATTTTGTGGTGAAAAGGGGTTTTGGATTTGCAAGCCTTCACAAGTCTATGCAATTGTGGATATAATTTATGTAAATAGACCAGATGTATATAGGTACATTTAAATAAGTGTAAAAATGCAAGTAATTGGTAAGTAACTGAATTCAGTCTGACAACATATCAGCCCTTGCACAGCTATTTAAGATCTTGCCAAAGGTAATCAAAAATAAATGAATAAATCACAACCTCTTTTTTTGCCAAAAGATGATTTAGGCAATTAAAAAAAAAATCACTTTTGGTAATACAAATTTTACTTAGGATATCATTTTAGGAAGGTGACGTTTTGGTTTGGTTGCTCTAATGTAACACTCCTGTGCAACCGCAGGGCAAGGCGACATTGGTCGAGTCGACCATCAGCTCTGGAGGAGGGGTACATGTATCAGTTGTCTATGACAGAGAAAGAATGGGTTGCTCAGCAAATAAGAGAAGACAGGAAGAGAAGGCCGTGATACAGAGGAAAGTCAAGAAAGATTTACACTACAGCTGCTCCTTGAAGTGAATTTCCTCTTGCTCCAGTGAATTATGTCATACATCCACTGTTAGATTAAAAAGGAAAACACACAGTCCAGATAGGATGCTGCACATCAAATATGAGAAGACAAATTTTTATGCTTTGCAAAAAATAAAAAAAATAAAAAAAATCTGTAAGAAGATTGCAATTTCCAACAACGGAATCCTTTTTGTTACAATCTCACTGATGCATTGACTTACTTAATTTGCTGTTAAACTAAGGATGTTTACAGGTTTTATTTAATATAATGAAGCTAGAGCTGCACAATATAATGAATTGCATTCATCGCTGCAACATCAGTTTGTAATATCGTAATTGAAAAGGGCTGAATGCAATATTTTTCGGATATTTTGCATTCGCAATCTGAATATCAATGATGTATTCAGTCAGTTGGATGGACTCCAAACCGGCCAAATCGGGTGTATATTTCTAGAAAGTGAGATACTAAAGTTCACAGTGAGTTTTGAAAACAATATGCAATGTTAAAAAAGAAAAGTGGCAAAAAGAACGTGCTACTTCTAGTTAATATTTTACTCCAATGGTGTCATAAAAAAATAGTTTGTTCTGATTTGGTACGGTGCAATTGAATCAGGTAATCAGAGCAATAAAGTAGTTTCACTATAAGAAGTTGGGAAAAAAATGTAACTGCAGACTAAACATAGATTTTGGAATGGCACTCATCAGGTCTGACAGTCAGAGTGAAGAAGGGCTGTTTGGCTCAGATAGACGTCATGAGAGACAGCTTTCCTTATCACTGAAACCACTCAGTTTCCTTTATACAAACACTTTAACAAACATGTTGTCAATGAAGACATTAAACAAAGATCACAAACGTCTTAAAGTTTTATTTTCTACAGTGAAAATACAGATTTTATTTTAGGACAAATTTGAAATAACCTAGAGAACCGCAATGCCTAACTAAAACCAAAAACAAATGGATTTTTTGTTGTTGTCAGCTGACAAAAACAAACAAGTTGTTGATTTTCTCTTTGTTTTGCAGAGTGCTTACATGAAAGGACAACACAACACGACTTTGGCATCCAGCGAAAGTCACAAACCTGACATGATGCCAAAAATATGACGGGTATGCACGATCAACAAGTGAAGGCAACTTCTTGCTACTTCAAACAAAACACGACCATCCGTTTTCTGCATCTTCTGGCTGCATTTCGTCTAATATTTGACTTTATCGTAGGAGACAAGTGGCACCCAAAATTCCCCATATTTGTGAAACACTAGAATTTTGCAAACAGAATTTTATCATAATGACAAAAAGCACCATAATAGTAGACAGAGGGAGCCTAAAGCATTTTTCTTGCAGGTGACCAGTTAACATCTAGTCAGAGGGATAAGTCACAAGTCCTGTACCTCCAGTGTTTATTGACTGAAATAAACATTTTCTAGTCTTCCAATAGCAAATCACAGAAAACTTGACTGTGCTAATAACTTTTTACCCCCTCCAGATCAAAACTTTGACACAAACTCAAATCATTCCTCTCCTTTGCTGCTCCCTCCTGCAGTTTCTATAGTTACAGACAAGTTCAGATATGTGCAAGCAGCACAATGCAGCGCTTGCTTACAGCTCAAAAATCCCAGGTCCTAGGACTGGACATGCTCTTCCTCCGCGTATATGCAAACCCCAGAGGAACATTCCAGGTGTGCAATGAGCAAACTTTAAGTCTTTGGACTAATCCTGATAATGTGGGTTAGTTTTTAACCCCCCAGCTTCCATCACCATATAAACCAAGTGAATTAAATCAAGCAGTACTGGGGAAAAATGGCTAATTAAATGTGCTAGCACTGCTTTGCACGCATCACCATTTTTGGAAGAGCTTCTCTTTGTGTTTACTTCAAACAGTACACAGCACTAAGTGTTCCCTTAATGGGTCAAGCTGTCTCCTCAGTGCTGTGAAAACAGCAAACTGCTTTATAGAAAGGCTGCCTTCACTTTGCTCAGAGGTGCCTCAGAAGGAAGCCATAACGCTTAACTATGTAACAGCTTAAGCAGATGCACATGCAAGTCGGCTCCAGCTAAGAGCCGAGTTTTCCATGCTGACATTTAAATGAAGCACGTGCGGCAGTGTGTTTTGTAGCGGCTCTGCCTCCTAAAGGACTCTGCCATCTGCAGCGCTGTGTACGGCGGCTCTCGTAAACTTTATGTCTTGCTGACTGCCCTGCTCAAACACCCAGCAAAACAGATTTGTGTTTGTTCTGCACTCACCTGAAGTTAGAAGACGCCTCAACTGAGGACACAACCTCTGACTCCGTCTCCGTTTTAAGGTCAGAGTTTGCGTCTGACTCGTGGGTGGCCTCATCACCGGAGTCTGCCACTTTAGTTCTCATCCCCCTCCTGGAGTATGCTGGCTCTGACCCATTATCCTCGTGTTTCTCTCTCTCCTTGGTTCCAGAGGACTCTGTTTCGGATGTCTCACCAATTTTCCGGTCCCTTCGGACATATTTAGGAGTGAATTCCTCTGTGTTGCCATAGCGCTCTGCCAACTCCCTCCTCCTTTCTGCCTTGTAGCGAGCGATGCGCTCAGCCTTCGTCTCTGGGGTCGAGCTCTGCAAGGTGTCTATTGCATCCATTAGGCAGTTCAGATCTGTCTGGGCGAGGTGTTTCTAGGCGAGTGGATCAACTGATCTGGTTTTTAGTTTTCAGTGGACGCTCCCTGGAAGGCAAGCGGTCACTCCAAAACCATGACAATGCTGCAAACAGAAAAGGAAAGGCATATTAGTTCATGATTGACAAAACAGTTGTAGCAACTTGACTCTTACGCCATAAAAAGGATGTGTGCAAGCTCCCAATTTATGAAAATCACATTAAGATTCTCATTTAAACATTTATTCCACTAACTCACGGAGAGTGGGAGTGGAAAAGAGGGAGAGGGAGTGGAGGGGGACTGAGAAACGCATAAAACTAACCGTATAAGCTCATTTTATTGTTTGCTTGATTTGGGATTTGCACCAGTGCTAATCACCTACCTTGCAATGACTCAACATTTAAAACAAAAGCAAAGCCAGAGAAATCCTGCACGAGTATAAAAGTGTTTTCTACTCATGTTTTTATGCCTCAAATGTGCAAATTATTATGGGTAAACATATATACAATGCCTTTCCAGCAACAGATGTAATTATTGTATTTTATTGGGATTTTGTGTGATATACGAACTGTGAAGAAGGAAAATGAGTCAGCCCAGATTTGTACACAGCAAAAACACAAAATCTCACCAAGTATCCTTGGTACAGTTTCTAGTTCAAATATTTGGATGCACGTGAAATAAGACAAAACTGACTTACAGTTATTTTTTAAAGCAGGATATGGGAGCTTATTTCAAGTAAATAATCTTGTATTATTAATTTTTAAATCCACTGGTGGATTTTTTTTTTTTTTTATGGGCTTTTTAAGGTTCTAGGTTTGATTCCCTGCCCCGGTCTTTCTGCATGGAGTTTGCATGTTCTCCCTGTGCATGCGTGGGTTTTCTCTGGGTACTCCAGCTTCATCCAACAGTCCAAAAACATGACTGTCAGGTTAACTGGCCTCTCCAAATTGCCCCTAGGTGTGAGTCTCTGTGTTCCCCTGCGACAGACTAGCGACCTGTCCAGGGTGACCCCACCTCTCTCCCGGAAGGTTAGCTGGAGATGGGCACCAGCAACCCTCCCGACCCCACCAAGGGACAATGGTGTAAAGAAAATGGATGGATTTTTTTTTTAAGTATAATGAGAAATTTTCCCCATGTCCAACATTTCTAAGAACGATTGTAAACAGCATCATGAAGAATAATTGTGATAACTTGCAGATGCCAGTTTCAAGCTGTCAGATGTCAAGTCAAATTTAAGTTAGTCTTGATATATAGCATTTTTATAACAACTGAAGGTAAGTTGATCATGCTATAAAATGGAACTACGTGCCTAGAAAATACATAATACCCGCTCTTTAATTATCTGGTTTGTCTGTTGAGGTGCAATACCCATTTCTTGACAACTCTGCAACTGATTTATATCCCAACACGTTCTTAAAATTCTCCAAAACCTTACCCTGCACCTGTTTCTTCAATAATGTTCTGTACCAAATCCCTGAGCCCTTCATAATAAACTAAATAATTTTGTGTGAGTGCTGTTAGGCTACTTGTGATGGCAGCTTGCAGGGACAGATTTAATGTAGGAGCAATTAGAGTAAAAGAGGCTGAAAATAAATGCAGGATGAGCTTCTAAGAGTTGCCTTGTAGAAGAATTAGAAAGTCATGCATTGTTTTTGCTTCATCTCACAACAGCATGCTACTTTGTGTTGGTCTGTCGCATAAAGTACCAGTTAAGGACAATAAAGTTTGTGGTTGTAATAGATTTTAAACAGTACTAATACAATACTAATTTTGCAAGGAACTTTTAATGCAAGGAATGACAGGCAAGCTGGGTTTGCTTCCACCCGTTGCAATTATTAGATTTGTTAAATGTCCCTTTCTCAACATTTTAGCAGTAAAAAACATCAAATAAATCGACTGCCTTTTGAAAACTAATGGCTTACAGTAAAAAGCTAGAAAAATCACAAGGTTGAGCTGAAGTCACTCTGTTCCATTGAGTAATGTCAGGGCAGAAAACCACAAGTTGGATGGATGTAGGGGCCTGAAAACGACAGACACATAAATACAAGCCAGCTGACAACAGCAATAATGATTATGTGCCGTTTCTGACCACTCCACACATCAAGCACAGGGGCTTTTCCACAGACATTTCTCACAGCTAAAGCATGCCTATGATGTCTTAGAACAGTAAAATGGAAGCAGGAGGGTAAGAGAGAAGTACAGTTACACACTAGAGAGACTCAGATTTAATGAAGCCCCCAGGTCTCCCTCAAATTACAGGGCCTGACCTAACTCAATGTATAACTTCTCACATTTATAGGATATGGGAAAACATAATTCAGAGCGCTGAGCCTGGGCAGTGTTAGTAATGAGAGACTCTAAAGAAGGAAGGTAAAAAGGAAAGAATGAGAGGATAAACGAACTGACTCAAATAGTCTATTCTGCACTGCTGACAAGCTTGAACAAACCTGGAGTTTATCCTTTACGACTCTTTCTGGTCTATAAATACTGACCCATAACCATGATTTTGGCCCCATTAAAAAAAATTGTAATAAAATACTGAAGTGAATCATTTAATGTCATTTAAGCAGCTGACTAAAGCCTGAGAACCTGAAAGTTTCAGATAATAAGATACCAAAACTGCAAAAGTAAGAAACACTGAAGGGATGAAATTATCACATCCCAACTTAAAACTAAGTCACATAAACTAAAGAAATTAATCAATGCTCCTCTAAAAATGGTAATATTGACAAACCTGGACTGAAAAAAAAAGAAACAAGGAAGCAAAAGTATAAAACCTAAAAAAGAAATAAATAAACTCTTTGAAAGCTAAATACTGTAAAGGTTTGTGTGACTTGGCACTCCCAACAAAGTATGCAAGAATGCATCATTTTCTGTTTTCCAGTTGTTGTTTTTCTTTAGTTTTATAATTAATCCCAAGTATGACAGAAACCTTTAATGTTCACAGAGAATCTTAGAAAGAAAGACCTCACAACAAGCTGAATAAGCAAAGCAGGAAACGCGCCAACAAACTCCTTCATAAAGCAACACGATAAAGTCACAGCAGCAAGCTGTTGCTCACTCCAAGACAAAGCCATCATACTACCTTATGAAGGCAAGAGCTCCTGAGTTTGGATGATGGTTTCAGGACACTTACATAATGACCTAGGCTTCTACCTATAAAAGGAGTGCTACACAGTCCGCTTAAGTTTGTCCATTTAGACCAAGCACATTTAGGGTGCTTTGTTTGGAAGCTGCCGTAGTTATTTTAAGAAACAAAGAGGGGACTAAAAACATGGTGAGTCATATCTCACTTCTTTCAGCCGACATGGATGCATCTGGAATATATGCTTTGTTTGGAAATCAACAGCAATGAAAACAGTGCATGGTGTTTTGGTGCTGAAATTACATATTTAAAGTTATATACTCGGAAATACAGCAAAGTTACTTGCAGATAAGCAAACAAATTTGGCCAGTGAGTTCCTATCATTGCCAATACCGGTTCTACCTGCCAATTTATGCGGTCATATTTATTTCTGCTCCAATGGGGCATGCGATTAAACCTCCAGTTCCCGATCAGCAGGGCGATTCTGTTGCTACAGAGGGAGTTGTCACAGAGGAGGAGCTGTCTCAACAAAGGCTAAATATGTCACCTCCTGACCATGGCGAAAACATTTCACCACAAGAGATTGTTTAATAAAGGAAGTTGCCCGTGAACATTGCAATACAAAAAGAAAATATCAAGAGAACAGACAGGCAGAGGCAGTGAGAAAGCCTGTTTTAACAGGCAGACAGAGGTTTGAATTTCCTCTTTTAATAAACCAATTTGAATTTTGAACATCCTCCCACTCACAAAAAGTTCAGCAATTACAGGCAAGCAATTGCATAATGAAAGCAAATGCCAGCAGCAATTGATCTTAAAAGCAGAAGTTACAACGCGGCTCAAACATGATTAATCAAGACACTTAATACAACCTGCTAAATAAACCCTAAGGTAAGAAGATCCAATATAAGGTTTGCATTCTTCTTAAGTTGTGGTAGAATTTTCATATATTTGTGGACAAAATTATTATTATTATTCAATTATAACGTTCAACATTAGTCGGCATAAATTATGCAGCTGCTACTAATACTGTCTTGATCATTAGATGCAGCAGAGCAGAACTCAAAAGGAGGAAGAAGTTGGTGTAAAAAATATTCACGCAATCCTGCAGTGTAAAAGAAAGTACTGCAGAATGTGGATTGAGGCGTAAGCACTAAATACCAAAATATTAAATAACAAAACTAAGGAGTCCAAAGCTTCTCGTTTTGCTTTTCGCATGCGGAAAAGAATGCTTAACAAATTACTAAACAGAACCTTGACAGCTAAAAAAAAAAATAAAAAATCTTCTACACCAAATAATGGCAGATAGCATAAAAAGCTGCTGCTAGAAGATTAGCACTTCATAGTTCCTCATGTACAACACATTGTGATTTGCCATTTTAGGAATATTACAGGAGGAAAATAAATACTTGAAATACTAGTAGGTGCATCTAAGTGAATCAAAATATAATTAAAAATCTTTAATTCAAGAATTCAGCTCAGAAAGTGAAACTATGTTATATACATTCATTACAAACAGTGTTATATTTCAAAAACAATGCTCTGTTGACTTTGATGATTGTGGCTTACAGAATAAGACAAAAGATTTTTGAACGTCCTAATTGAAACTGAAACCAATGTCTCCGTCTGACCAAGAAACCTTTACACCGGACCATTCTGTGCTTTTCCAACCTTCCTCCAAACTGGACATTGATTTCCAATTGAAACAGAGTGTTTACTATATTGTGAAAAGCTGCTGCCTTTTTCTTCCTAGCCCAGATATGAAGCTTCTTGCTTTGTCTCTGGTTACAGAGTGTCTGAACAGAGTGGGACATTTCCAGCAGATATCTGGGATATGCAGTAATCAAGTAGCAAATTAACCTTTTTTTTTTTCTTACAAAATGTTTACCTTCCACTTAACTTTCCTTTAATAAGTTTGCATTCAGCATTCTAAATAGTGAACTTTTTAGCAATAGATTGTTGTGGCTTATCCTCTAGCAAATCAGTGGTCTTCCACATCATAGTGTTACATTTCTACATTAAACATGATTTGGATCCTACATAATATAATTTTTGGAGAAAATTTTGGGTTTTCACTGGCTTCAATTATTACCATTAAAAAAAAGGTTGTAATATACAACTATGTGTTTAAGTAGTTTAAATGTGAGCTTCCCTTTATGAGTAGCCATTGATGGTGTTTCTTACCTAAAAAGGACGAAAACCAACCAAAAACATTTATATTTGAGATTAAGATAAAGAACAGACAGAAACCCACCTGAGGGCAAACGCTGACCTGTTGCCTAACAAACAGTTTTTCCTGCAGAAATCACATGCCTCTACAAGAATGACAAAACAGGAATGCAGCCACAGCCCTCCTCAGGAACAGTCAAATTACATCGAAAAGGCTGCATGTCTCAAATGCAACACAATTAAAGGAAATCCTTCTTATTTTACAAAGTGAGTAACCCGAAGACTGGAAACAATGAGGCAAACATTTTGTCTTTAACTAGAGTCATTTTTTAAAGACAACAGTGGAGTATGTTGTCTTATAATAATGCCATTTAAATTAATCAAAATGTACTTCCATTGACTGGGCCTTACTTTACCCGTTTTTTGTTTTTTTTTTCCTTTCGCAACTTAAAACCTTGAAATGACATTTAAGAGTTTTTCCCCAGAAACTGTAAACATTTTTGACATATTCTTGGTTCAAAATGCACAAAATTGGATAATACTCAAACACCTGAAATAGTTTTTGGAGAAGGTTTATTATTGCTCTGTATGTTTACAACATGCTGGCACTGTTAACGTTCAGGAATCCACCTAAAGTTACCACAGACATCAGAGACCTATTAAGACACTGCTCTGCAGCCCTGGACAAAACAAGAGGAAACCGTGTAAAAGAAGGCCAGCAGTTGACCCACTTTCCTCCAGAAGGAAGAAGGTGGAAAGTGGAAACTTCGCTTCACTGAGAAAACCCAGGTTTCTGTACAGCACAATAAAACACACACACA